GGCGCGGCGGCGGCGCGGCTCCCGGGGGCCCGGGCCCGCCGACCCCCGGCGCGGCAATGGGCCCGTCCGCCGCCGCCGCGCGTTAAGGTGGAGCGGAGCGGAGCGGGGCGGTGGCACCTTAAACCGCTCGGGCCGCTCTCCCCGCCCGGCAGCCCGGGCCCCACGGGGCTGTGGCTGAACGGGAGAGGACCGACCCTCCGGCCGCGGGGCTTGTGCAGCCGCCAGCAAACGAGGAGGAGGGGGAGAGTAAACAGCCGGTTCTGTCTGATGGACGGGGCAGCAGCCGGAGGCACGGACTGCTACCAGCGCCGTTCACGCCGCATGAGCACGGCACACACCGAGCCTTTGAGTACCAGCTACTGTGCGCACACATCTCCCCTTCTCCCCCTTCCCCCTATATATATGTTCATACTTAATACGAGGAAGCCTCATCAACTTTAATCCCAATAAGAAAATTCATGTTTAATTCACCAGAGCTCATCCTGTATAGCACTCGGGGAGCACACGGGCAGTGGTTACTTTTCTTACCTCTCATTTGTGTCCTTGGCTGGCGCTGGAAGGCAGAACCAAAGCAGCACTTCCCATGCCACCTGCAGGCTCCTTTGCCACCTCACACCTTGCACCTGACGCCAGCAAAAGCTCTGCTCCCGCACCTACACACACTCACTGACACACGCTGCCCTCACAGAGGATGCTAGTGATGGCTGTGTGAGAATAATCCATGGCAGGAAGGATGTGTCCTACCACAGGAGCACCTTGGGCACAACCCTGGGTGGTGCTCAGGTACAGACTGAGCGCCTACAGCATTTCGGGGTACATTTAGGCACCTGCTGATTTACCGTGCTGGGTCAGGGCTTACCTCCCTGGTGGTGTGCAAAGCAGAGGTATAGGAACTCAAAATGGTTCTTAAACCCAAGTGAACAGACCCAGCTCTCCTCCTGTGCTGAATTAGCATTTCATACACTCCAGTAGTCCCCAGAAAGATCTACCCAAGGAGTCTGGCACAAGACAGCCTCCATGCTATCTTTCCCACACGTGTAAGAGGCAGAGAGAAATGTACTGCCATTTTACAAACAAGATACATGTCTGCCTCAAAACCTGCATTGGTCCAGCAGCATGGAAGAGGTGAGAGGGAGCAGACCAGGATGAACCTCACAGGTTTTCCCAACCAAACCCTGGGACAGACGTGTTTTGTTCACTTCAATTGACAGCTGAGTTTGTAAGATATGCATTTGTCAAAAGAAGTCACGTGTTTACACCTGAATTTGGTGTGAAACAGTTTCTCTGTTGGTTACAAATTTTCCCTCTAGGACAAAACAGTCTCCTCATCTTCCCAGGGTAGACTGCAGTATGGTGATGGAGCCAACTGGCTATGAGGAATCTGGTTTTTGCTACCAGCACATCTTGCCACCAGGGAGGGCAGAATTGGCAAAGCTGCAAACAGTAGGTCATTTATACACCCTCAGAGGTGTGGAAATGCTGTCACTAAATGCTGGTGACACAGCAGTCCTGGGACTGGTAGGCCAAAGATTTCAGGTTTAGATCTTTAAATCTGAGCATCCAGCTTTCTATTTGGCCATCTTAAACAGATCACCCTTCAGAGCTGCACATTTTTGCTTCTGTGGAGATAGCTGCATTTGTCAACCAAGCCAAATATTCAGACACCTAAACCTGAAAATCTCTGATGCATTTCATACCAAAGTCAGTACCACTTGACAGGAAAAGCCTGTGGCCTGGCTCCTATATGTCAGGTATCTGGGTTATTGCTCGGCTCTCAGTAGCCTTCCTACCATAAGAAAGACTAAAATTATGGATGGAGGAAAGCCAAAAAGTCCTCTTTCAATTCCATCCAGTATCTGGAGCAGCGTTAAATTTCTTGTAGTGCGTATTAGTTAACAACATTGCTAAAGGGGAATTGCTGCTGTGATTGAGCACTTATACAATCCAACTCCTATTTAACTGCATTTTTGTATCCTGCTGAGTCACCCCAAGGAGCCCTCAAACAAAACATCATGTTCAGTTTGACAGCAAAGGCTTTGGCATGAGGAGCCTCCCCTTACCAGCCCTCCCTGGGGGGATGTGAGTGCAGGATGGGCGACACTTCAAACCTTGGAACGAAATAGAAAGCTAAAAGAGAAGAGTGCCTTAAAATTTCAGCCAACATTTCCCCCATACAGATTTAAGCACATGACATTTCCAGTTTCAGCTTCAGTGAATAGATTAAAGTGACCATACAACTTCTCAACTCCTCAAATCAGATTATACTTCAGGCAAGCTCTCACTAAATTAGAGGATGCATTATGTAGGTAACATAGTATTTCACTATTAGGTCTAGATGAATGTGGCTGTTTATTATCCCATATTAAAGCTGGGTGGGTTAGTGCAGCATGAGCCTCTTGGCCTGTTTTGTTGGCAGCTGCCTTTTGGGCTGCTGGGGACACTTCCCTTGCCCAGACTCTGCAGCAGGATGTTGCAAACATAAGGGTTTGCACAGCACCACAGCAAGGCAGAGACTATTTGCCCAAAAAAGAAAAAAAAAAAAAAAAAAAAAAAAAAAAAAAAAAAAAAAAGGAAAAGGAAAAAAGAAGTTTTCCTTGCAGGAACTGTGCAATGGGTAAGATTTTTGCCAGTACAAATTCCTGCTGGTGCCACATAGCCAGGGATAAGAGGTCACTTCAGGGAAGTCAGAGGATGGAGATGGGGTTTGAGGGGATGCAGTGGCCCTCCCAAGAACTAACCCAAGGTGCTGCTGGCATCACTGTCTAGAGAACAGGCAGGTTGTGCTGGAGCAGGGAGCTGGACCTGCCTGCACCATGTGGGGATAAAAGCACCATCCTGCACCAGATTGGATCCTGCTAGAGCAGAGCCCCACAGGCTTGACCCTCGGTGTTGAATTTGGAGAAGAGCACAAAGAGACCACAGCCTGAACCCTGCCAGATGGCACAATCTCAAATGAGCTGCAAAGGAAACAGTTGAGGTGTTCCTACACTGCCAGTAGAATCCAAATCTGCATGAAGCCAGTGCAGTAGCTTTGCTGCCACTGTGAGTCCAGCAGGTCAGAGAAAGCAGATCACACCTTTGGGCTATGGATGAACAATATTGCTCTGCTTCTATGGACTAGGAACGATGAAGCCATAACATAGTTCAAACAACTGAGATTGATTTCACCAGATTTCTCTGATGCTTGGCACAGACCATGGTGAAGCTACTTAGCAGTAGAGGACATCTAGTGATATTCACATGCAACTACAAAAACTACATAAACTGATAAAATTTCTCACGTGACTAACTCAGAGTCAGCATGGCTGGAGATGGGACACGATGTGGCTGTGACAGCTGCAGGAGGGCTGGGACAGGCTGACCATGAGCACCCTCTGTAAACGGGTCACAAAGAAAAAACCTCCTGAGAGGCTTAGGGAACATACAGGTAGGAAGCTCAGGGGAGCTGGTGGTGCTGCATCTTTTAAGGAAATATTACAGGAGAGTGCCGAGTTTTTATTTCTACAGCAAAGACCACGTAAACTGGGATACAGAGATTAAAATCGGTCGTTTTCTTTCAGGAATCTTTGCTCTTATCTCAATTTGCCTTTCACGTGACTCATCCTGAGCACATGCTGCAAACATCAGCCTCAAGATCAAGATATTTTTTCTCTAGTACAAGAGATCAACCCTTTCTCCATGCCCTTTACAGCCTGCTGCTCTTTGTTCTGGGAAGGATACAAAGAATATTTCCCTCCTCCAGGTTATTTATAACAGGGGATTCTGTAGAAATGTTTTTCCAGACACACTCCAGGCCTAGGATCAGGAATTTGGCTGTGAAACAAAGAGACTGCCAATTTGGTTTCTAAAAAAGCGAGGATTGGCAGAGCTTTATAAAAGAATACACTTCCCTAAGGAAATAGACTCATTTTATCTGACACTTCCTTTGAATGGAATTATTCCCATTAAGATCACCATTAATTTAGGAGTAAGGGCTTCACATTTGAGGTCTCACCATCTTGTACTTACTTCCATGTCAGATGCACTCAGTTTACAAGGAAAGGTGGGACTTTTATTACTCCTAATAAAACACAAGGAAAATAAGTTTCTGCTGGCCAGATTAGGTCCTTGGAAATAGCTGTGCAAAGCTACAATACCTACTCAAAATGCAAAGGGTGATGTTGAAAGGCGTCAGTGACACGGGTGAAAGAACAGAGGAAAAGGCTGCATTAGCACCTGCAACAACTGTTGATTTTGTGCCCTTCATGCATTTCTGTTATTTATCAATGGACTATATTTAGCAATCATAAGACCAGAGCGTGGAGCAGCCCCAGGTCTTTGCTCTGCTCTCCAGAGGGCAGCTGGTGGCTAGCAGAGACTGGCACAGCTCTGAGAGATCCACAGTAGCTGCTCATATGAGGCAGGAGTAATTTCTGCAGCACACTGAGTCATTGTAGGAAGGAGACTGAATCTTACCCAATTTCCGAAAGCAGAAGAGCTCTAAGCTCTCTTGTGATGAAACAAAAGCTGGCAGAGCACATGTTGTTATGTGGCAGGCAGGGAGGCCACTTGAGACACATTCAGGAGGTCTTCATGTGAGCAGCAGTGAAGGACACTTCAGAGGCTGAAAGCTGCTGGTGTTGAGCAGCGAAGGCACAGTGCAGCTGCTTCAGTACCAGAGAGCCAGAAATTAATGTGTGATGTGAGTTTCAAGGCAGAGGAGATGAGGAAATCAATGACCCAGACAGAAGGAGAGATAGTGCCAGATGAAGCCCGATGACGACATTTCCAGGCAAATTGTTCACGCTGCTGGGTGAGCTGCCTGGGGAGAGATGGAACAGATTAGAGATGACTGCATATACTTTGCCCAAGAGCAAGACTGTGAGATTCACAGTAGCAAG